GGGATGGTTTCCTGTCCTTAGAGGGAGGGTCTATGATTACCTCCTTAGTTTCACAGTAAGTACTTGATTCTGAGTTCAGCCTCTATCTCTGATAGCATTCTCAGCAGGAGACTCCTTACACTCTTGCTTTGATGACCCACAACTATGGATTTTCATAACTAGGCATTTTCATGAGTCTTGTACTTGTCCAGGTCAAGGAAGAAGATTTATTTATAAATCTGTAAAATGATTTTGTGCCACATTTGTAAAAATCCCCTGAAGATGGTCAGAAAAGACTACCAGTTTTTAAATTAGACTCATCATAGATATTTGATAGCCCGTGGCTCCTTCTTAGCTGTCACATCCTCCCCTATTTCCCTATTGTCCTCAAGTAGGGTTTGGTAACAGCTGCCACTGGGGAGAGTACTGGAAACTGGACACTGGAACATTTTGGATATGTGGAAGGTGAATTATTCCTATGGGTCTCCTAAATCAGGGAGTGAAGGTGATTTTTTGGGTGGTAGTTGTAGGTACTAAATCTCTGATTTTGGGACTGCCAACATTCCGCAAAAAAAAAAAAAAAAAAAAAAAAAAAAATCTACTTTAGTTCCACAGAGAGGCAGACACATTACCTGGTCTATAGGTGACTGAGATGTGTGTGTGTGTGTGTTTAGTATTTAAGGAACACGAGAGGAAAAAACATTTATTGGACACCTTCTGTAAACTATTCTTCAACTGCAACTGAATCAATTAGGTATTTTCCTCACATGAGAGATGATGAAACTGAGTTTGAAAACAGTAAGAGGCAGGTTGGGAACTCAGCCCAAATGCTACTGATGTTAAAGTGCGTATTTTTCCCTCTTCTAACCTCTGAGAGGAGACAACTGCAGCTTGCTTTTTTGTTTGAGGCCCAGAAAAATCTCTGCTTATGTCTGCTGTGTTGCAGCTTCCTGTTACATTTTATACTCCTTCCTTCCTTCCTTCTCTCCCTCCCTTTCTCTCTCTCTCTCTCTTTCTTTTCTGTATTTATTTATTTGAAAAGCAGAGTTACAAAGAGGCAGACACAGAGAAAGAAAGATCTTTCATCAGTTATTTTCTCTCCCCAAATGGCTGCAACAGCAGGAGCTGGGCTGATCTGAAGCCAGGAGCCAGGAGCTTCTTTGGTGTCTCCTATGTGGGTGTAAGCGCCCAAGTTCTTGGACCATCCTCTGCTGCTTCCCTAGGCCATCATCAGGGAGCTGGATCAGAAGTGGAGCAGCTGGAACTTGAACTAGCACGCATATGGGATGCTGGCATTGCAGGCTGCAGCTTTACCTGCTACACCACAGCACCAGCTCCCTATTTTACATTTATTAAAAACTGATATTAAATACATAAGATATCATAATAAAATTGATAATATATATTAAAATAGTTTATTGGATGTTAAAATATACTTTTGTACATTTAATAGAGTTCATTGGGATTGTTAAACTAGATACATCTTTTATCCTAAAATCTTTGAGACTATAATAGTTGGTGTTACTGACTGATGCCCTGAAACAATGTGAATAAGCGTTGCTGGATTTTGTGGATATCAGGTCGGGTGTAATTTTTTTTTTTTAAAGATTTATTTGAAAGAGTTATACAGAGAGAGAAGGAAAGGCAGAGAGAGAGAGAGAGAGAGAGAGAGAGGTCTTCCATCCGTGGGTTCACTCCACAGTTGGCCACAATGGCTGGAGTTGCGCCAATCCGAAGCCAGGAGCCAGGAGTTTCTTCTGGGTCTCCCATGTGGGTGCTGGGGCCCAAGAACGTGGGCCATCTTCTACTGCTTTCCCAGGTCATAGCAGAGAGCTGGATCAGAAGTGAAGCAGCCGGGATTCGAACCAGCGCCTATATAGGATGCTGGCACAGCAGGCAGTGGCTTAACTCCCTAAGCCACAGTGTCAGCCCCTGGATATAATCTTTGTAAAGTGAACATTGACTAAGAACTGGAAGGTAGTATGATCTCCCTAACCTGAAAGTCTCAGGAACAAATGGACGTTGGACCTCAGGCTATACAGTCCTCTGAGCACCTGGTTTCATTGGGCAAGTGTAATAAGGATCACAGACAGGTAAGGGCCCAATGAACAAAACAAGATTCTTAATTCTTGTCTTTTTTTCCCCTTTCCTCCCCCCAACTACCATTTCATTATGGTGGTGTTAAAATATATTTAACATAGAGTTTATTGCTCTAGCCATTTTCAAGTGCACAATTAGCTGGCATGTATGTTCACAAGATTGTGCAACCATCATCATTATCCATGTTTCCAGAACTTTATCAGCATCTCAAGTATAATTCCTGTATACATTAAGCAATAACTCCCCAATATATATCTCTTCTCTTCTGTCTGTCGAGGGATTTTCATTTTCATTGTTGTTAGTTGTTTTGCCTCTGTTAGGTACTCAGTTACATTTTTCCCCCCTCTGCTGTTAAGATTCCAGCTGGTAGCAACATATTATGTCTTATTAAAAAAAAAAAGATTTATTTATTTATTTGAAAGGCAGAGTTACCCGGAGAGAGGAGAGGCAGAAAGAGAGAGAGGTCTTCCACCCGCTGGTTCACTCCCCAGATGACTTCAACGGTCAGAGATGAGCTGATCTGGAGCCAGGAACTTTTTCCAGGTCTCCCAGGCAGGTGCAGGGGCCCAAGGACTTGGGCCATCCTCCATTGCTTTCTCAGACTATAGCAGAGAGAGCTGGATCAGAAGTGGAGCAGCCAGGACGCGAATCAGCACCCATATGGGACGCTGGAGCTTTATTTATTTATTTATTTATTTATTTATTTATTTATTTATTTTTTTGATAGGCAGAGTGGACAGTGAGAGAGAGAGACAGAGAGAGAAAGGTCTTCCTTTGCCGTTGGTTCACCCTCCAATGGCCGCCGCTGCAGCCGGCGCACCGCGCTGATCCGATGGCAGGAGCCAGGATCCAGGTGCTTTTCCTGGTCTCCCATGGGGTGCAGGGCCCAAGCACCTGGGCCATCCTCCACTGCACTCCCTGGCCATAGCAGAGAGCTGGCCTGGAAGAGGGGCAACCGGGACAGAATCCGGCGCCCCAACCGGGACTAGAACCCGGTGTGCCGGCGCCGCAAGGTGGAGGATTAGCCTATTGAGCCACGGCGCCGGCCATTTTTTTTTTTTTTTTTTTTTTTTTTTTAATTTATTTGAAAGAGTTACAGAGAGAGGTAGAAGTCTTCCATCCGCTGGTTCACTCCCCAGATGGCCGCAATGGTCGGAGCTGCGCTGATCCAAAGCCAAGAGCCAGGAGCTTCTTCCAGGTCTCCCACGCGGGTACAGGGTCCCAAGGACTTGGACCATCTACCACTGCTTTCCCAGGCCATAGCAGAGAGCTGGATCGGAAGAGGAGCAGCTGGGACTAGAACCAGCGCCCATATTGGGTGCCGGCGCTTCAGCCAGGGCTTTAACCTGCTGTGCCACAGCGCCAGCCCCTGCATGCTGGGGCTTTAACCCACTGCGTCATAGCACCGGCACTGATATATTTTATCTTAATAATTTTCTTCTTTTAGTCTGTCGTTGGATAAGAAACATTACTTAGCTTTTCAAAATAAGAGTTAATAGAGTTTCTGATCACTAAAGCTTTTTTCCTATGTAGAGAAGAAACAGGGTTTTGTGATGGCTATATCAATTTTTTTTTAAAAAAAGATTTGTTAATTTACTTGAAAGGGAGAGCATCCATCGGAGAGAGTATGAAAGACACAGAGAGGGGTCTTCCATCATCTGGTTCACACCCCAAGTGGCTGCAACAGCAAGGATTGGGCCAGGCCAAAGCCAGGAGCCAGGAACTCCATCCTAGTTTCTGACATGGGTGGCAGGGGCCCCATCACTTGGGCCTTCATCTGCTGCCTTCACAGGTGTATTAGTAGGAAACTGGATCAAAAGCAGTGCAGCTGGGACTCAACCTGGAACTCTGATATGAGATGCCAGCATCACAAGCGAAGGATTAATGAGCTGTGCCACAATGCTGGCCTCTATTTTAACTATGAAAAAGACTTTTGGCCGGCGCCGCGGCTCACTAGGCTAATCCTCCAACTAGCGGCGCCGGCACACTGGGTTCTAGTCCCGGTCGGGGTGCCGGATTCTGTCCCGGTTGCCCCTCTTCCAGGCCAGCTCTCTGCTGTGGCCCGGGAAGGCAGTGGAGGATGGCCCAAGTGCTTGGGCCCTGCACCCCATGGGAGACCAGGAGAAGCACCTGGCTCCTGCCATCGGATCAGCGCGGTGTGCCGGCCGCAGTGCGCCAGCTGTGGCGGCCATTGGAGGGTGAACCAATGGCAAAAGGAAGATCCTTTCTCTCTGTCTCTCTCTCTCACTATCCACTCTGCCTGTCAAAAAAAAAAAAAAAAGACTTTTTCTTCCTCAATTCCTAGACATTTCCCAAAGGGTTTATATTTTTGAAGTCAGACTTATGGAAAAATGAGGCTATTATTGTTCATAAGAGAGAAATAGATTGATGGATAAATAACCAGAGATGCCTTAGACTTGTATTTTCCAAGAAGCCTACATTTAATAGAGTCTACCACTAGTTTCCAGAGCCCATATGGATTGCAGGTGATGGCTTTTACTTGCTGTACCACAATGTCAGCTTCCTTGTCAGTTGTCTTTTAAAGAGAAGTGCACTTATAACATGAGTAGATTGCAGGGGTAGGACTGCAAACATCTTTTCAGAAAGCACATTTCTGGGGGCCAGTGTTGTGGCACAGTGGGTTAAACCACTGCTTGAGAAGATGGCATCCCATACTGGAGGGCTGTTTCAAGTCCTAGCTGCCCTGTTTCCCATCCAGCTCCCTGCTAATCTGGGAAAGCAGTGGGAGATGGCCCAAGTTCTTAGGCCCCTTTCTTAAAAAAAAGAAAGAAAACGAGTAAGCACAGCTCTCGACAAAGCAAAATTTACTTACATGCAGTATTTGTCTCTGTGGTCTCATGGGGATCTGATAGTTCATGTCATTGGTGTTTGTTTAAATATCTGAGATTCTTCTTTTACAGGCATTTGATTTCACTGCCATAGAGTTGACATCTGAGACTGATGAAATTCCAGATATTATAGCTTTGGAAGAGGAAGATGGAGCAAATCATTCACATTTTAATGGCCCTGACCTCTCAGCAAAATGTTGAACAAAAAAAAAAGATCTCTCCTTTTAGTTGAATATGCAATTTCTATCACATTAAGCTTCACTTTGTTTTTATGTTTATTCCTGAGGCTTCAAGAAGTGTTAATCTATTTTTTGGCTAATTCATCTTACTTGCAATGAAACTTGATCTTAACTTTCATAAGAGATTTAGTTCTATGATGTGTATCATTTTATGTAAGTCCTCACAGTTTAATTGCTGAAATGACTATAATAAATATTGGGTCGGATAATCTCAAATCAGAGTGTTTTTTTTTTTTCTGACACAGGGGACATTTGTTGTTTTTGGGTCTCCCAGAATTTATTCCTGCTTCTTTGGTTAATAACCCCCTTGTATCTTTAGGGGTGTCAGTCTACAGATCAAGTTTCTTTGGTTCCCCTAGCTTATGAGCACACATGTGACCAAAAGCAGGTCAATTGGAAGGACACATAGCATGATGGGTAGTGAATTACATGCTGGGTTCTAATTTTGCTTTGCTCCTTACTAACTCTAACCTTGAACAAGTTACTTAATTTCTCTGTACCTCAATTTTCTCATCTTTAAAATGGGCACAGTACTAGGTTTGTTATGAAGATTAAGTAGTTATCATTTGTAAAGTACTTAGGGCAGAGCCTACCACAAAACAGCATAAATAAGTATTAGTTAAATGAACAAATTGTAGAAACAGTGGCTAACCCAATAGCTATGGGCACCCCCAGTGCTCAGGTTGTGGTCTCAAAATACCATTTCACACTAAAAGAAACCAGGGCTTTTTGGAAGAAAAGACTGATTCCAGATGTGAGAAAGATGTACAAAATAAGCCTTTTTTTTTAAATTTTTTTTATTTATTTTAAAGTCAGAGAGGAGAGGCAGAGAGAGAGAGAGAGAGAGAGGTCTTCCATCTGAAGGTTCACTTCCCAGTTGGCTGCAATGGATGGAGCTGTGCTGATCCGAAGGAGCCAGGAGCTTCCTCCAGGGGTGGGTGCAGGGGCCCAAGGAATGGGCCATCTTCTACCGCCTTCCCAGGCCACAGCAGAGAGCTGGATTGAAGAGGAGCAGCCGGGACTAGAACCGGCGCCCATATAGGATGCCAGTGCTTCAGGCCAGGGCGTTAAACTGCTGAGCCACAGCGCTGGGCCCCCAAATAAGCCTTGAACTTCCTGCTATCCCAAATGGCAAGGAGGCCAATTTGAAGAAGCTCACATTGGCCAAAGATGGGACAATCTGTATCTCTATAGGGATGGTAAATACAATAGATCAACCCCCACAAAGAAGTTTAAATCCATGATTTTACAATGATGTATGTATCATTTTATATATATATATATATATATATATATATATATATAATTGCGCGGTCACTTCTTAGAAGATGATAGCGAACTAATTATCTTGTTATTTTATTTTATTTTTTTGACAGGCAGGGTTAGACAATGAGAGAGAGAGAGAGAGAGAGAAAGGTCTTCCTTCTGTTGGTTCACCCCCCAAATGGCCGCTATGGCCCGCGCTGCGCCGATCCAAAGCCAGGAGCCAGGTGCTACCTCCTGGTCTCCCATGGGGTGCAGGGCCCAAGCACTTGGGCCATCCTTCACTGCCTTCCCGGGCCACAGCAGAGAGCTGGCCTGGAAGAGGAGCAACCGGGATAGAATCCGGCGCCCCAACCAGGACTAGAACCCCGGGTGCCGGCGTTGCAGGCGGAGGATGAGCCGTGGCACCGGTCTGAAATAGACCTTTTTTTTTTTTTTAATTTTTTGACAGGCAGAGTGGACAGTGAGAGAGAGAGACAGAGAGAAAGGTCTTCCTTTGCCGTTGGTTCACCCTCCAATGGCCGCCGCGGCCGGCGCGCTGCGGCCGCCGGCACACCGCGCTGATCCGATGGCAGGAGCCAGGAGCCAGGTGCTTTTCCTGGTCTCCCATGGGGTGCAGGGCCCAAGCACCTGGGCCATCCTCCACTGCACTCCCTGGCCATAGCAGAGAGCTGGCCTGGAAGAGGGGCAACCGGGACAGAATCCGGCGCCCCAACCGGGACTAGAACCCAGTGTGCCAGCGCCGCTAGGCGGAGGATTAGCCTAGTGAGCCGCGGCACCGGCCCGAAATAGATCTTTTTTAAAAATTTACTTATTGGAAGATCTTTTTCTCTTGTTGCCTTTCAAATAAACAAAAGAGTAAAGCACTCAGAGGTTAGATGACTTGTTCAGGGTCACATAGCCAAGAATAGTTAAAAGTGGAATCCACTGCTTTTCCCACTGCCTTGAGCCACTTGACGCATGTAATCTAACAAGCTCACAGAAGCAAAAGGAACCACTCAACAATAGGGACCTGAAACCTCAAAAGGTCTCCTGCCGCGCAATGCACTGTGGTTCTTGTAGTCGCCCGCCTGGGCCTGACAGGAAGGGATGGCGAAAAGGGCGCATTGCATGGCGGTAGATGTAGTCCCCTGGGGAAAACCACCCTTCCCGGAAGCCAGGCGGCGCAGGCGCGCACTGCTCTTCCTCAAGCGCGGGAGTCTTGGTTTTGTGGTGGCTTCGCTTTGGCCTCTCTGCCGCCACAGCCGTTGGTGGCTTCATTTCCCGGAGACTTCTAGGCCATCTGAGGCGACATGGTTGCAGGCGACAAAGCAGCAGGCGGTGGCAATGCAGGAACTGCCGCGACCTCCGGCTGCCTGTAGGCAGCGACCCTTTGGGCCCTCAGTCGCTCGGGCCTGCGCTTTCTTCCTGTGAAGTCGCCGTGCCTTTCCGCGAGGATGAGCTCTGCCTGGGTAACTTCTTTCGAAAAGGAGCATCTCTGGATGTACCTGCAGGCGCTCGGCTTCGAGCCGGGCCCGGCTACCACTGCCTGTGGAAAGATCGTGTCGCACACGCACCTCGGAGTGTAAGGAGGCTGAGGCCGGCAGGGCGAGGGTGCCTGAGTCGGGGAGACAGCCGGTAGACCCGCCCTTGCGCGGACTGGGCGGGCGGACGAATCAGGAAAGGCCGAGCGACTGCTGTGTCCCAGGCGTGGCTCAAGGCTGCAAAGCCCTTGCCCCAGGTGCCAGCCTGGTGACAGAGCCGTAGAAATTGGGAAACTGCTGGCAGCGCGGTATGGGAGGGAGGGGCAGCTTAACCCTGCTTTTGGGGGAGGTGGGTGGGAACTATGGGCGCAGACGCCTTTTGGAATTGAAGGCTTCTTTGAAAACCGTTGTTTAACTTTAGTTTGTAATGTTTATGTTTAAAGATAGGAAACAAAGGCATGCCACATTTAGCAAAAAACAAACAAACAACCAGAGAAGGATATTAAAGTAAAAAGTAGAACCCTCTTCCCTACTTTTACCATTTCTATTATGATCGTAATCTAAATATATTAATGTGCTTTGTCTACTCTAGACAGTATTATCTTCTCTGCTATAAGCCAAGAAGAATTTGGGAGCACATTGGTTCTCTTAGTCTCAATCTATGTGATTTGTGTACATTTTATGATTTCAATTTTCCTAGTGGCTGTTGTACTATTTTGCTTAGATCTGTATTTCTTGATTCAGCAATCTCAAAAGTATCTCTGAATTCACTGCCATGTCATGTCACAGAGAAGTAGCTATTATTTATGATTAGCTCACCTACACTTCCCTTCTTTTCCGCGACATTTTCCGGTTTATTATAATTTACACTGTAATGTTTAGAGCTGCAATTAAGTTTTGTTTGGAAGTTACTACAGTTAACTTATGCAGGGTTTTTCCTACAAATCTGTTAAACACTGACCCCACTGGAATAGTATTTATCAGGTTAAGGTGATGTATTTATTAAAACTCCATTTATGCCACATGATTTAATGTCCCACAGCAGTCTCATTTTCTGTGTACTGGCAGAGAACCTGAAGCTTCTGGGCCCTGCTGAGAATGATTCTCAATACCATTCCATCCTTCTCTCCTGTGTTTTGGCCATCTTAGTTTTCTCTTCACTGGCTTATCTGTCAGTGTAACTGCAGTCTGTTCTCTGCCCTTGAAAAAAATATTTTTTTTTTTAAAGATCTATTTGAAAAGCAGAAGCAGAGAGAGAGAGGTCTTCCACCCAGTGGTTCACTCCCCAAATAGCTGCAGTGGTGGAGTTGGGCTGATCCAGAGCCTGGAGCTTCTTTGGGGACGCCCATGTGGGTGCTGCTTTCCCAGCCCATAGCAGAGAGCTAGATCGGAAGAAGAGCAGCTGGGGCACGAACTGAGAGAGGAGGAGAGAGAAGGAGAGAGAGAGATCTTCTATCTGCTGGTTCATGCCACAGATGGCTGCAGCGGCCTGGGCTGGACCTGGCCAAAGCCAGGAGCCTGGAATACCATTCTAGTCTCCCATGTGAGTGTAGGGGCTCTACATTTTGTTTGCTCATTTTATTAAATATGGCAAAATTCATTTTGGTTTCTAGTTCTATGGGTTTCTAGTTTCTGTATCCATGTAGTTGTGTAACCGCTTTTCTTATAAAAGTTAAATGTACACTTACTATAATGCAGTGATCCCATTCCAAGGTACAGATTGAGCATCCCTAATCCAAAAATCTGAAAGCAAAAAAAGTTTTTGAGCAGCTGATTTTTTGGATTAAGGGTGCTCAAGAAGTAAAGTGTATGCAGATATTCCAAAATCTGACACACTCTGGAATCTGAAACACCTCTGATCGGAAATATTTTGGATAAAGGATATTCAACCTGTGTTTAGGTAAAAGGTTTGCACTTGAGGAAAAATTATGAATTGCATAGCAGACATTGTATTAGAAGGGAAGCAAGGCTTCATAGTTATCTAGGCCTGAATTATGGTAGTAGTTGGTCTGGAAAGAAGAGACCCTTCATTTATTCATTCAGCAACTAGTTATTAGGATAGTTCTAGGAGTAAAATTTGTGGTAAAGACCCTGGATTCTGGTCAAGTGACATATTTCAAATCCATGCTTTTCCTCTTCCTGATAATGTATTTTTGGGCAAATTCAGTAAGTCTGTAAATCTAACTTCTCTCATCTGTATAATGAGAATGCTGTAGTTACTATCTAGTGTTATAAGATGAAATGAAACGATGCAGGTCAAGCAGATAGCACAGTACTTAACCTCATATGATGACAGAAAAGATTAGGTAAGAGTTACTGTCTATATATAAAGTCTTTTTTTTTTTTTTTTTTTTTAAGATTTATTTATTTATTTGAAAGGCAGACTTACAGAGAGGTAGAGGGAGAGAGAGGGAGGTACTCCATCTGCTGGTTCACTCCCCAAGCGGCCACAACGGCAGGACTGTGCTGATCCAAAGCCAGGAGCCAAGAGCTTCCTTCAGGTCTCCCACAAGGGTACAGGGGCCCAAGGACTTGGGCCATCCTCCACTGCCTTCCCAGGCCACAGCAGAGAGCTGGATTGGAAGTGGAAGCCGGGACCTTAACTTGTGTCCATATGGGATGCTGGCACTGCAGGCTTTACCCACTACGTCACAGCGCCGGCCCCTACGTGTAAAGTCTTAAAATAACGCCTGTCAAGTAGGAAACTTTGAGAAAATGTTAGCTATTTTTGCTTTTATGTTTTATATCATCATCATATCATAAGGCATGGTTCTCTGTTTACCTAATTTATTAGGTCCTTTCTGTAGAATTTTTTCTTTGCAGTGAATCAAGTCCTGCCAGTTTTCTTCTGTTGGATTTATGTTTCTAGAAGCAGAAAATAGAAACTTGTTATATTTTTTAAATTGGTTAAAAATGTATGTGAATGAGAAAAATTAATTTGCCTTGACCTCTTGAATTGAATGAAAAGTATTAATTTGTATCAGGCTTATTTAACTTTTGATTATTTTTAGTTTTATTAATCTTTTTTTCCCTCTGTTTCATTAAACCACCAGGAACATGTTTGATAAACTGAACCGTGATGCCTTTCAGATAGTTTCTTATTTTTTGTTTCAAACACTGGACCAGTCTCTCACCAAAGAAGTTTTCAAGTAAGGAAAAAATTGTCTCATTTTCTTAAGTAGTCATTCTAATATTTGAAAATGGACTATTCCTTGTTATAAGCCAGCATTTTAACTTTGGCCTTTGAGTGGATGTCAAAAGATTCATGATTGAGTCTTAGAAATTTAGTGTTTAACTTTCGTAGATATGAAGATATGAGTGGTTTTTTCTTTGCCTTTTTTTTTTTGAAAGATTTATCTGTTTGAAAGGCAGAGTGACAGAGAGGGAGAGAGAGAGAGATCTTCCATCTGCTGCTTTACTTCCCAAGTGGCCACAACAGCCAGGTCTGGACCAGGCTGAAGCTAGGAACCAGGAACTCCATCCTTGTCTTCCAAGAGGATGGCAGGGGCTCAAGCACTTAGGCCATCTTTTGCCGTCTCCTCAGGCACATTAGCAGGAAACTGGACTGAGAACAAAACAGTCAGGATTGTCTAATTTTACTTCCTATTTCTCTGTAAACCTTTTATTTTTTCAGAGAGATATATATATGATACATGTAAAAGCATCAATTACTATAGGCAAAAATACTTTCAATTAAATATAGTCTATTTTTATATGCTGTTAAATATTAAATGTTTTAAGAAGGAGATAGCTAGGCCTGGTTCTGAGTTACTTTGCATGTAATTTGGGTTTGTTCTGTTTGGAAAAACTGTTTAAATTTGTTTTGATGTTTATATTGTACCATCACTGCTTATAATAGAAGAGTAACAAGTAAATCCTTTGTTGAGGGCATTATTTTTATTTTTGGTAATGTATTCTTTTTTTTTTTTTTTTTTAAGATGTATTTATTTTACTTGAAGAGTTACACAGAGAGAGGAGAGGCAGAGAGAGAGAGAGAAAGAGCGAGCAAGGCCTTTCATCTACTGGTTCACTCCTCAGATAGTGGCAACAGTCAGAGTTGAGCCGATCTGAAGCCAGGAGCTTCTTCCAGGTCTCCCACATGGGTGCAGGGGCCCAAGGACTTGGACCATCTTCTACTGCTTTTCCAGGCCATAGCAGAGTGCTGGATTGGAAATGGAGCAGCTAGGTCTTGAACTGGCGCCCATATGGAATGCCAGCACTGCAGGCGGTGGCTTTACCTGTTACGCCACAGTGCCGGCCCCCGGTAATCTATTCTTATATTTTGACTTAAATTAAACTTGTGAGTGCCCAAAGAACAAGCATTTTTAGAAACTTTTCTTGGAAATTCCTATCATTATGACATAGGGCTTCTTCTTTCTGAATAAAAATAGAGCTCTTTTTTTTTTCTTTTTTCTTTCTTTTTTATTTTTGACAGGCAGAGTGGACAGTGAGAGAGAGAGACAGAGAAAGGTCTTCCTTTACCATTGGTTCACCCTCCAATGGCTGCTGCGGCTGGCGCGCTGCGGCCGGCACATCACGCTGATCCGAAGTGGGGAGCCAGGTGCTTCTCCTGGTCTCCCATGCGGGTGCAGGACTCAAGGACTTGGGCCATCCTCCACTGCCCTCCCAAGCCATAGCAGAGAGCTGGCCTGGAAGAGGGGCAACCGGGACAGCATCCGGCGCCCCGACCAGGACTAGAACCCGGAGTGCCGGCGCCGCAAGGCGGAGGATTAGCCTATTGAGCCGTGGCATCGGCCAAAATAGAGATCTTGATTTTTCCTGACTGAATGTTATGACTTAAGCAATTCAGGAAAATATAAACAGGGAAGTAGAAATCACTCCTAAACCCATCAACTAGAAACTCACTGTTATTCTAGCCTTTCAGTCTTTTTTTTTCTATGTATATTAAAATATTTTGTTATAGAAATTAAAAAAATGAGGTCTTAAAAAAATAATTATGCCTCAGAGTAAAAATTTGGGCGAAACTAATTGTGGGAAAACAATACGTAAATTTTAAATTCTGGTATTTTTGACCGAAAAACTAAAACAAAACTTTTCATATTGTATCTTCCTTAGCTACAAAAACAGTAGCATTGCTGGACTAAGATATGGGTTATCTCTGGGATTCATATTCTGTTTTGGCCACTCTTCTCTGCTTATGTGTATCCATTTATGTTTCTCTCATGCAAGTTTTTTTTTTCTTTGAAAAATTTGTTGATTTATTTGAAAGTCAGAGTCACAGAGAGAGAGGGAAAAGCTCGATCATTTGTCCACTGGTTCATTCCTCTGATGGCTACAATGGCCAGGGCGGGGCCAGGCTGAAGCCAGGAGCCAGGACTTTCATCCAGGTCTCCCACATAGGTGCAGGGGTCCAAACACTTGTACAATCTGCTGCTTTTCCCAGGCCATTAGCAGGGAGCTGGATGAGAAGTGGTGCAACCGGGACTTGAATAGGTGCCCATATGGGATGCTAGCATCGCAGGAGCAGCAGCTTTACCCATTATGCAATGCTGGCCCCCTCATGCAAGATTTTTAAAGATTTATTTATTTGTTTAAAAGGCAGAGTTACAGAGAGGAGAGAGATCTTCCATCTGCTGGTTCACTTTCCAAATAGCTGCAACAGCTGGTTTAGGCCAGGTGGAAGCCAGGAGCCAGGAACTCTATCCAGATCTCCCACATATGTGGCAAGGTTCAAGTACTTTGACTGTCTTTTGCTGCTTTGCCAGGTGCGTTAGCAGGGATCTGGATCAGAAGTGGAGCAGCCGAATTCTGTCACACTTCGCCACAATGCTGGCTCCTCATGTAAAAAAAATTTTTTAGGTCCAATATACTAGTTTATACCATTAATCCAATGGGTCATTGAGTATTGTTCTTGTCAGCTGATTTTCTGAAATTTTAATAACTGCTCATTCCTTCATTAAATATGTCCTAAATTGAACTGAACTGTATAGATAATTATAAGGCAAATGACTGTTTCTCACAAGTCGGTATCTTTAGCTGAAAATCTAGGAATGCTAGCTTTATTTAGCCTTATGTTTCCAGTAGGAAATAAGTTTGATTTTAATAAAAAATGTATTGCACTTGTTGATAATTCTAATGTTTTTATTTTTGTTAAGATTTTGCTGGCCTCCATTTGACCAAAAAAGTGAAACTGAATTCCGGAAACATTGCTATGAATGGTTAAAAAAGATTTCTGTAAGTATTCTTTTTTTGAAAGATGCAAACTTTAGAATGTTACAAACTAACATTAATTTTTTAGAGGTACAGTCTCTTTTTAGAAATTTTAACGTATTTATATGAGAGAGACAGACAAGACAGGTAGAGAGAATGATCCTGTTCTCTGATTACTCCTCAAATGCTTGCAGTGCCAGTGTGCTGAAGCCAGGTGGCAGAAACCTAATTACTTGAGCCATGACCATCGCCTCTGTAGGAAGCTGGAGTCAGGAGCTGAATCTGGGATTCATATTTAGGCAGTCTGGTATTGAATGCAGACTTCTTAACTGGCATTTCAACTTCCAGGCCAAATGCCTGCCTCATAAAGGATGCATTGTTTTTACTTTATGCTAGGGGTGCTCATTTGGCACAGCATTAATATAGCACTTGGGATGCCTGAATCCCACATCAGAATGCCTGGGTTTGCATCCTGCCTCTGCTCCTGATTCCAGCTTCTGACTAATGTATACCCTGGGAGGCAACAGATGATGACTGAAGTAGTTGGGTCCCTGCCCATCCCATGTGGAAGACCTGGATTGAGTTCTGAACTCATGGCTTCAGCCTGCCCTGGGCCCATACATTGGGGAGCACTTGGGGAGTGACCCAGTGGATGAAACGTAGGATCTCTCTTAATCTGTTTGTATTTCTCTGCCTTTCAAATAAAATGCAAATAAGAAAAAATTTTAAAAAAGGCTAAAAATAGCTGATGTAAGTTAAAAAGGAATTACTAAGGAAATCTTAGAATAATATTGTTTGATTTTTGGTTGAGATTCTTTGTATTTTTCAGATACCAACTTTGCTGGCTAGGTTTACTAGAAATAGACTTCAGAGTTCATGGGAGTAAATATCACAATTTTAATTAATTTATTTTAAAGATTAATTAATTTATTTGGAAGGTAGAGAGACAGCGAAATATTTCATCTTCTGGTTTACTCTCCAGTGACCACAAGAGCCAGGTCTGGCCCAGGCTGAAGGCTGGTCTTCAAATGGGTGGCAGGGGCCCAACTACTTGGGCTGTCTTCTGCTTTCCTAGGCTGATTAGCAGAAAGCTGAATTGGAAGTGGCACTTTGATATGGGATGCTGCCTTGCAAGTAGTGGCTTAACCTGTTGGGCCATGATGCTGGCCCTCAGAGTTTTTAAAGAAAAGTTTTGATCACAGATTATTATGGCTGTTTTCTCCAATGGTGTCAATTGCGGCATTATTATTATAATTTTTTGTGAACAATCCATTGAGTTTAGAAAAACCAAAAAATTCAACTTGTGGTTACAGTAGAATAAACTTTGTCAAGTTTTTTATGCTTTTAAAATTGTATAATGATACTAAGGTGTGGGCTGAGGCTGGTGATGTTCCAAGACCTCACTGTGGAAATTGGATATGTCCGAGCCACTGTTCTATGAGGTGGGGTGCTGATGGCTGAGACGCCACCCTACAGTGTTCAAGGACATACTCAGCTTCTGCTAAAAGACTGCCATGCCCTTTTAAAAAGCATATAAGGCCGGCGCTGCGGCTCACTAGGCTAATCCTCTGCTTGTGGCGCTGGCACACCGGGTTCTAGTCCCGGTCGGGGCACTGGATTCTGTCCCGGTTGCCCCTCTTCCAGGCCAGCTCTCTGCTGTGGCCCGGGAGTGCAGTGGAGGATGGCTCCTGACTTCGGATCAGTGCGGTGCGCCGGCTGCGGGTAAAGCTGGCATTCCATGTAGGTGCTGGTTTCAGTCCCGGCTGCTCCACTTCTGATCCAGCTCCCTGCAAATGTGCCTAGGAAAGCAGCTAAGGTTGGCCCGAGTGCTTGGGCCCTTACACCCATGTGGGAGACCTGGAGGAAGCTCCAGGCCCCTGGCCAGGCACAGCCATGGCCTTGTGGTCACTTGAGAAGTGAACCAGCGGATGGAGGTGCTCTCTCTGTCTCTCCATCTCCCTCTCTCTGTAACTCTACCTTTCAAATAAATAAATACATTTTTTAAAAAGAAAAATGAGCAATGTGATGTAAATATGAACTATGAGTATTGTTGGTAACATTTTCGAATCCTCTTATTTTTTCCATAGGCTGAGTGTGGAAGTAGCTTTCCTCAAGTTGTTGGCTCCTTGTTTCTTTCTCCTGGTGGTCCTAAGTTTATTCATTTGATGTATCATTTTGCAAGATTTGTTGCAGTAAGATATATTAAAAATAATTCAAAAAGTAAGTTAAACTTATAATAGGAATTTTGTTTGGATTGCTAAATTGTTATTGTTCTTCACAATATTTAAATCCTTAGGAGATTTTAATAAAGCCAGGTAGAATTAAAATACTGATTTACCTCTAAAAGCAAATTGTTAATACTATTTTGGAATTGTAGTTTGAAATCTTATATTAAAATAGGTTTCTATTCATGTATATATTTTTTAAAAAGACTTATTTATTTATTTGAAAGTCAGAGTTACACAGAGAGAGAAAGAGAAGCAGAAAGAGAGAGAGAGGTCTTCCATCCACTGGTTCACTCCCCAATTGGCCGTAACGGCTGGAGCTGTGCTGATCTGAAGCCAGGAGCCAGGAGCTTCCCTCATGTCTCCCACGTGGGTGCAGGGGCCCAAGGATTTGGGCCATCTTTCACTGCTTTCCCAGACCATAGAAGGGAGCTGGATGAGAAGTGGAGCAGCTGGGACTCGAACCGGTGCAGGGGCCCATAAGGGATGCTGGCACTGGAGGTGGCGGCTTTACCCGCTACACCATGGTGCTGGCCCCTGTATGTTTTTATTTATTTTATTTTATTTTTTTGACAGGCAGAGTGGACAGTGAGAGAGAGAGACAGAGAGAAAGGTCTTCCTTTTGCTGTTGATTCACCCTCCAATGGCCGGCGCACCGCGCTGATTTGATGGCAGGAGCCAGGTACTTATCCTGGTCTCCCATGCGGGTGCAGGGCTCAAGGACTTGGGCCATCCTCCACTGCACTCCTGGGCCACAGCAGAGAGCTGGCCTGGAAGAGGGGCAACCGGGACAGAATCCGGCACCCCAACCGGGACTAGAACCCAGAGTGCCGGCGCCGCAAGGCGGAGGATTAGCCTAGTGAGCCGCCCTGTATATGTTTTAATATAAATGGAGAAACACTTTTTATATAAGGCAAAATAGTAAATATGTTAGCCTTGTGGACAACATAGGAGGGTCTATGTTGCATATTCCCTTTTTGTTTGTTTGTTTTTACAGTCTTTAAAATGTAAAAATCATACCACTTTGTTGGACTCACAAAACAACTAGTTCTTTCTTAAATGCTTTTTCCATTTTTAATTTAGAAATATATTTTTAAGATGTAATTGTACTGCTCATTCTATTTTATATTTTAGATCTAGTGATTATGGCTGGCCTCTAATACATTATTTTAAATGTTGTGTTGAATATTTTCTCAATTTTTTGTTTGTTAATGGCAATGTGTTAGAAATTTCTGTTTTAGAGAAAGTGGATTTATTACTAGTTCATACAAAACCACAAATTTGATTTTACAAGTCACGACTTAAAATAATGCTATTTGTAGCATATTTCCTTCTACCAAGCAAATCATCTTTGACGAATCATTTATATAAATGCATTTTATAGAAGATCATCTTTTTTAAAAATATATATTTATTTATTTATTTGAAAGGCAGTTATGGAAAGAAAGAGAGAAGAGATCTTCTACCTACTGGTTCACTCCTTAAATGGTTACATTGGCAGGGGTTGTGACAAGCCAAAGCCAGGAACCATCTATCCAGGTCTTACATGTGGGTGGCGGGGGTCCATGCTCTGCTGGCTTCTCTGGCACAGTAGTGGAGTGCTGGATATGGGATATTGACATCACAGGCAGTACCTTAATCTGCTGTGCCACAAAGCAGGCTTAAAAGGTCATCCTTTATTCACATCAGTTATATCTTTTTATGTATGTAGTATATCTAGCTTTTAAGGAGTTCTTTTTTTTTAAAATTTCTTTAAAAGATTTTATTTATTTATTTGAGAGGTAGAGTTACAGACAGTGAGAGGAAGAGACAGAGAGACAGGTCTTTATTCTGTTGGTTCACTCCTCAAATGGCTGCAACAGATGGAGCTGTGCTGATGCGAAGCCAGGAGCCAGGTGCTTCTTCCTGGTTTCCGTGTGGGTGCAGGGACCCAAGCACTTGGGCCATCTTCTGTTGCTTTCCCAGGCCATAGCAGGGAGCTGGATTGGGAGAGGAGCAAACAGGACTAGAACCAGCGCCCATATGTGATGCTGGTGCTGCAGGTGGAGGATAAACCTAGTGCACCACAGTGCTGGCCCCAAGGAGTTCTTAATTATATGATGTTAATTAAAATTCAACATTTTGTTATGTTTAACCTTTTAAATTTGCCTTCTAAGATCTTATTTGTCTTCCATTTAGATTCATCGTATTTTGTACAGACATTTAACCTAAAGCCTCAAGATTTGCACAAATGCATTGCCAGATGCCATGTAGCACGTAACAGATTTTTACAAATTTTGCAAAGAGAAGATTTTGTTACTCAAAAATATCAGGAAAATGCACAGTAAGTGATACTTCAATAGTTAGAAAATATTTCTTTTTAATCACATGCTAGCCATATAACTTCAGAAGAAATTATACCTACTTCAAAACACTGCCTATTGTCTTTTGATTTTAAAGCCAGGTAACTTCTGAAACTTTTTTTGTTAAGATTGATTTATTTATTTTTAAAAGATTTATTTATTTATTAGAAAGGCAGAGTTACAGAGAGGCAGAAGCAAGGAAAGAGAGAGAGAGAGAGATCTTCCATCTGCTGGTTCATTCCCTAGATGGCCTCAATGGCTGGAGCTGCGCTGATCCAAAGCCAGGGGCCAAGAGCCACCTCTAGGTCTCCCATGTGGGTGCAGGGCCCCAAGGACTTAGGCCATCTTCCACTGCTTTCCTAGGACATAGCAGAGAACTGGCTTGGAAGTGGAGTAGCCAGGACTCGAACCAGTGTCCATATGGATGCTTGTGTTGTACGTGGCAGCTTTACCTACTACTCTGTAGCACCGGCCCCTATTTATTTATTTGAAAGGCAGAGTTACAGAGAGGCAGAAGCAGGGAGAAAGAGGTCTTCCATCCCTTGGTTTACTCCCCAAATGGCCTCAACGGCCAGAGCTGGGCCTATCTGAAGCCAGGAGTCTGGAGCTTCCTCCGGGTCTCCCACGTGGGTGCAAGAGCCCAAGGACTTGGGCCATCCTCTACTGCTTTCCCAAGCCATTGCAGAAAGCTGGGTTGGAAGTGGAGCAGCCGGGCTTGAAATGGCGCCCATTTGAGATGCTGGCACTGCAGGCGATGGCTTTACTTGCTACACTCCAGTGCCGGCCTCATTTCTGAAACCAAATGTATTGTAAAGGGGACATTGAGAATAAGAAAAGATCATTTTAGTACAAAAAAATTCAGTTTTCAGGGAGAATTTTGTGGTGTAGCAGATTGAATTGTCACTTGGGATGCCTGCATCCCATATGAATCCTTCCTCTGTTTCTTATCCTGCCTTCTCCTAATGATCCATGGGAGGAAATAGGTGATGGGGCAAGTGCTAAATTCCTTGTGGAAGGCTGGTTTAGGTTTCCTAGTTCCTGGCTTTGGGCTGGCCCAACGTTAGCTGTTTGGGGCATTTGGGGAGTGATCTAGTAGATGGAAGATTCTCTCTCTCTCTCCCTCTTTCCCTCGCTCCCTTGCTCCCTCGCTCCCTCTCTCTCTCTCTCTCTCTCTCCCTGTCTTTGTCTCTCCCTATCTCTCTGTCACTCTGCATTTCAAATAAATAAATCCTAAGTTTTCTAATGTTTTATTTCTTTACATGGAAATAAAGAATTAAGTTAGAATTGCTGTGTTCTTTATGTCTTGTGTCTTTTCTTTATTACATCCTTTTATGTCCTGATATTTCATTCTGTAAATTTTCTGTCTTAGCATAGTACATTACTTAAAAGTCTGTTTAATATTTTGTTGAGTAGATATTTCATTAATTATGTAATTCTTTAAGTAGTCTATAATATTTTTAACCATTTCATTACTAATTTGTATTTATTTTTAGATTTTTAAATTTATTTTTATTATTTGAAAGGCAGAAAAAGAGATAGAGAGGTGTCTTCCATCTGCCAGCTTGCTTCCTAGATGTCTGCAATAGCCAGAGTTGGGCCAGGCTGAAGCCAGGAGGCCAGAACTCGATCCAGGTTCCACGTGACAGGGACCTTAGTATTCAGGCCATCTTCTGATGCCTCCCAGGATGTGCCTCAGCAGGAAGGTAGACTGGAAGCAGAGGAGCTGAGACTCAAACAAAGGATACAGATGTCTAAAGCAGTATCTTAACTGCTGTGCCAATTGCCAGTTGCCTGCTCCTATTTGATTTAGATTCACCTATTCAAGAAACTTTCTTTTGAACTGTATGGGGGCAGATATTGTTTAGGCATGGGTACAATGGTATTAAGACAGACAAGGCCCTTATTCTCAAAGAATAGGTTGGGTCTTTATTTTTTTGCAGTTAGAAACAACTGCAGTAAGGTAACTTTTTGAAGATTTATTTATTCATTTATTTGAAAGGCAGAGTTACAGAGAGGCAGAGGCAGAGAGAGGTCTTCCATCTTCTGGTTCACTCCCCAAATTGCTGTAATGGCCGGGAGCTAGGCTGATCTGAAGCCAGTAGCCAGGAGCTTCTTCCAGGTCTCACTGGGTGCAGGAACCTAAGCACTTGGGCCGTCTTCAGTTGCTTTCCCAGGCCATAGCAGAGAGCTGGATTGGAAGTGGAACAGCTGGGTCTTGAACTGGCGCCCATACTGGATGCTGGTACTGCAGGCAGCAGCTTTACCTGCTACACCACAGCACCGGCCCCAGTAAGATAACTTTAAAATACTTTGTTATCTATTACAAAAGCTAGGGAATCCTTCGAAACTATCTCAGAACTGAAATGTCTGATCGATTGCATTAGATAGCATTTATTTTTAAAGATGTTTATTTATTTTGAAAGAGTTACTTTGGAGGGAAAGAGAGAGAGAATGCGAGAGAGATTTTCCATCTCTGGTTTACTCCCCAGTGCTGGGGAGGCCAATGCCAGGAGCCAGGAGCTGCTTCTTGGTCTCCCAGGTAGGTGTTGCGTGCCCAAGCACTTGGGTCATCCCAAGCATCCAGGCCATCAGCAGGGCGCTGGATTAGAAGTGTAGCAGATAGGACATGAACTGGCATCTATGGGATGCTGGCATCACAGGTGGTGGGTTTACCTGTTATGTCATGGTGCCGACCCCTAGATAACATTTGTTTTTTTAAAGATTTTTTTTTTTTTTTAATTTATTTGAGAGGTAGAGTTACAGATAGAGAGAGGTAGAGACAGAAAAGTCTTCCTTCCGTTGGTTCATTCCCCAAATGGCTGCAATGGAGCCAGGAGCTTCTTCCGGGTCTCCCATGTGGGTGCAGGGCCCAAGGACTTGGGACATCCTCTACTGCTTTCCCAGGCCATAGCAGAGAGCTGGATTGGAAGAGGAGCAGCCAGGACTAGAACCGGTGCCCATATGAACCAGCTCCCCTAGATAACATTTAAATTTACCTCATAGGTAGGTGAGACAAGGATAAGGGAGCAGAGTAGTCTCATTGACCTTCTCCATTCTTCTCAAGGTCAGACAGTGTACTATGCTAGAAATTCTCATCCATCTCAATAGCAGTCTGTGTGTTATGTGAATGTTAAAAGCGAGTCCACAGTCCTTTAGCTGGCTGTCAGTGTCTCCAAAGGGGAAATGAAAAGGGGAAATATCTAGTTAATTGTAAAGAAATTAAAGTTGTCATTTTGTATGTTTTCTTGCAGATTAGCAGTTAAGCAAGTTCGAAATTTGAGATCAGAATGTATAGAACTACAAAATCAAATAAAAAGGTATGTGATTTAGAGCTGAAAGTTGTTCTGGATGATAGTTTACCTTTTGCATTTTATAGGTGAGGAAATGAGAGTTCTAGAAACAATTTAAAATAATATGTTAATAACTGGATGATGATAGAACTAGAACATATTTCTGGACTCTGTCCAGTTCTTCATCTAATAAAGTGTTTATTATTGCTTTTAGCATGAATTATTTTTGGTTTTAATTGGAATAGTTGTTAGTAAGTGGACTTGTAGACCAGTTAGCTCTTTGGATGTTAAATTACCCTGTGATTTTCTTATCACTAATTAGCTCAATTAATTTTTACTAGCATGGAACCCTATGATGACCAAAGTAATATAGAAGAGAAAATTCAAAAGGTGAGGCAACATTTGAAGGGACAAATTTATTCTTTCTTATTTTTATGATGTATAGTGTTTGACATATCAGTTGTACTCTTTTTTTTTAAAGATTTATTTATTTGAAAGGCAGAATTGTAGAGAGGCAGAGGAAGAAATAGAGAGAGAGGGAGGTCTTTCATCCTCTGGTTCATTCCCCAAATAGCCACAACGGGCAGAGCTGCACCCATCCAAAGCCAGAAGCCAAAATCTTCTTCTGGGTCTCCCACGCGAGTTTAGGTGCCCAAGGACTTGGAAGGGAGCTGGATGGGAATGGAGCAACTGGGACTCAAATAAGCGCCCATGTGGATGCTGGCACTACAGGCGGCAGCTTTACCCATTACTCCACAACGCCAGCCCCCAGTTACACTCTTAAGTTCTCCTTTTGCAGCACTGTTTTTACCAGTGAGATATATAAAACTATCAGAGTGCTTTTTTTTTTAGTTTATTCTAATTAAAAAAAATTTTTTTTGACAGGCAGAGTTAGACAGTGAGAGAGAAAGACAGAGATAGGTCTTCTTTCCGTTGGTTCACCCCCTAAATGGTCGCTATGGCTGGTGCGCTGTGCCGATCTGAAGCCAGGAGCCAGGTGCTTCTCCTGGTCTCCCATGCAGGTGCAGGGCCCAAGGACTTGGGCCATCCTCCACTGCACTCCTGGGCCACAGCAGAGAGCTAGACTGGAAGAGGAGCAAGCTGGACAGAACCAGCGCCCCAACCGGGACTAGAACCGGGAGTGCCGGTGCTGCAGGTGGAGGATTAGCCTAGTGAGCTGCGGTACCGACCTCAAGGGTTCTTTTATATGCTGGAATATAATAGAAAAAATTAGCTTGTAATTTGTAAGTTTAAATATTTACAAAAGCAATTTTAAGTATGATTTAAAATTTCAGTATGATTTAAAATCCTCCATCCATCAAAAAAAGCCCTTGATTGTAACTTAATCAGTGTCCCCCCTTCTAAAATTTACTTATTTATTTGAAAGGCAGAGTTAGAGAGAGAGAGGGAGAGACAGGGAGAGATCGATCTTCTGTCCCCCAGTTCACTTCCCAAATGGCCACAATGGTGCTGTGTCACACTGAAACCAGGAGCCAGAATCTTCATCTGGGACACCTGTGTTGGTGGCAGGGGCCCAAGGACTTGGGCCATTTTCTGCTGCTTGCTCTAGACTGTGAGCCAGGAGCTAGCTGCATTGGAAGTGGAGCAGCCGGGACATAAATTGGCTCCTATATGGCATGCCAGCCTTGCAGGTGGCTCTTTATCCGCTACAACACAAATTTTTTAATTTTTTCTCTATTTTCAATTTTTAATTGACAAATAATTGTGTATAATACGTTTATGGGGTACACAGTGTGGTGCTTTGATCCATCCATGCATGCAATTATAGAAGATTTAGATCAAGCTAATTCCATCACCTCACCAATTTACCACTTTTTTTGTGGTAAGAATACTAAAAATATTTTAGTAATTTTAAAATATATAATTCATTATTATTAACTGTGGTCACCATTAGTGTAATTGATTATTAAAATTCATTCCACTCATCTAGTTGAAACTTTATACCCTTTGATCAACATCATTTTATGAAAATTCTTTTTTTTTAAAAAAAGTATTTACTGGGACTGGCATTGTGCCTTGGGTAAAGCCACTGCCAGCAGTGCCGGCATCTTATATGGATGCTGGTTCATGTCTTGTCTGTTCCCCTTCTAATTCAGCTCCTGCTAATGGCCTGGGAAAAGCAGTGGAAGATGGCCCAAGTGTCTGAGGCCCTGCTACCCACATGGGAGACTTGGAAGAACTTCCTGACTCTTGCCTTCAGCCTGGCCAGCCCTGGCTGTTGTGGCCATTTGAGGAGTGAACCAGGGAAGCAGGGAATGGAAGCTCTTTCTCTCTTTGTCTCTCCTTCTCCCACTGTAATTCTGAGTTTCAAATAAATAAATCTTAAAAAAAAAATAAAATTATTGCCCAGAGAGAAGATTTCTCTGTCTTTCCCTCGCTATAACTCTGCCTTTCAAAAAAAAAATTTTTTTTTTAAATATATGCCATGTGTGTCACATGTAAGTAGACTGTGAATGACTGTCGATGTGTAGTTTTTTACTTCTGGAAAAAATTTTAAATTTCTCCCTAAACTCAATTAAATTGATAGCTTTTCAGAATATAGAAAGTGCTAATGGTATCGTGATATTCTACATGATTTCTTAGAAAATCCTAGTGAGCTAGATTGTCTTGGGAAATTCTTTCATGTCCTGTTGAAATTAATATCAGTGCTTTTAAACAATTAAAATATATGTATTATTAGTAATTGTCTTAGGAATACTTTGTTACTAGGAATGAGCAAATAGCTTTTTTAAAAAGGTTGGTTGATTGATTTGAAAGGCAGAGTTACAGAGAGGCAGAGGTAGAAAGAGACAGAGATCTTCCATCTATGGTTCACTCCCAATTGGCTGCAATGGCTGGAGCTGTGCTGATCCATATGGGATGCCAGAGCTCCAGGCCAGGGCTTCAACCTGTTGCGCCACAGCACCAGCCCCTACATGTGTACTTTCTAAAATGAAAACATGGAGGCCAGTGCTGTGGTGTAGTGGGTAAAGCTACCACCAGTAGTGCCAGCATCCTATATGGGCGCTGGATCAAGTCCCAGCTGCTCCACTTCCGATCCAGCTCTCTGCTATGCCCTGGGAAAGCAGTAAAGGATGGCCCAAGTCCTTGGGCCCCTGCACCCCTGTGGGAGACCCAGAAGAAGCTCCTGGCTCCTGGCTTCATATTGGTGCAGCTCCGGCCATTGTGGCCAATTGGGGAGTAAACCAGCAGATGGAAGACCTCTCTCTCTTTCTCTGCCTCTCCTCTCTCTCTGCAACTCTGACATTCAAGTAAATAAATTTAAAAAAATACACATGCAGGGTTATATATGAACTAATTTTATTTGTGTTTGTATTCAAAGGTTAGGTCTTTGTGGGCCTCAGTGAATGAAACACTCGTGTGTTTGGAAAAAGAGAGAGAAATTGTTAGTTCAGTCCTTGGTCTTGTTAACCAATATGCTTTAGATGGAACTGATGTTGTTATTAACATTCCAACACTCTTACTCGACAATATTGAGAAACAAATGTGTCAGGTAAGCATTTAATATTAAGGAGGCTTTTGAGAAAACTTCCTTCATGTAATTTATTTATATATTGTTTTCCTTGCAATGTTTTTCTGCTGTTTCTAGAACTTGTTTTTGTTAATCTGTGTGGTAAAGCTTCATAAAGATGGATACTGCCAAAGGTGTATATGTATACTTACGTCTGTCAGCTTTTATTGTTTATACTTTGTAGAGTGCTATTATCATATAGTGGAATGGATATGAGATTACTTAATAGGAAGATATACTGTACAATTTCTTTGTAAATTCTCAGAGAACAATGGTCTCCTGATTGCTTGCTGTCCTTTTTAATAGTCCCTGTCTTCTGGTTTTCTTCACCTTGATGCTGTTAAGTATTTCTTTTAAAATCTTTTCTTCCTTTAGCATTATAACTTCAGTGTCTTTGCTTTCCTGTGGTTTTTCAGACTTCTGTTCTCAATTTTTTTTCCATCTGGTTCCTTTTTCTCTCTAACCTTTAAAGGAAAGTGTTCTCCTTGGTTTCTTAATGCCTTCTTTTTTGTCTGCTTATTATGAATTAATCTATTTTCTTACCAATTCCACAGCTTTAAAAGCCTCCTATTACCAAATTGGTAATATGTCACCAAATAGGTATTTCCTGTCTATGCACTTTGAGACTTCATATAATTATTTCTACTTGATTATGAGATATTTCCATCTGGATAGCTTATGTTTTCTTAGCAAGCACAGTTTATTAAGGGACTACCATATTGGTATAGTATAAGGGATACAAAGATAAAATACTGTTGTAATCCTGAAAAGCTTTTATGGTAACTTGATAGGCACTTCAGATTCAGGTACATGTATGTCATGATCTCTAACTCATATCTGCAGACTCTTGGCAGATGATATATGTAATAAATTAAGCACATCAATTATGTGTTACAATAGGGAGAAAATAGGAATTGATGATGTCTTTGGAGAAAATTACTGTAGTATGCCTCTTTTTAAACTTTGCCCTGCATAGGACTATTTTTTTTTTAAGATTTATTTATTTACATGAGAGTCAGAGTTAGAGAGAAGGAGAGGCAGAGAGAGAGAGAGAGAGTTCTTTTATCTGCTGGTTCACTCCCCAGTTGGCTGCAATGGCTGGAGCTGTGCTGATCTGAAGCCAGGAGCCAGAGCTTCTTCTGAGTTTCCCATGCAGGTGCAGGGGTCCAAGGGCTTGGACTGTCTTCTGCTGCTTTCCCAGGCCATAGCAGAGAGCTGGATTGGAAGTAGAGCAGTCAAGACTAGAACCGGCGTCCATATGGGATGCTGGCACTGCAGGCTGCGGCTTTACCTGCTACGCCACAGTGCTGGCCCCAGGACTATTTTGTTTTTAATATTATTTTATTCGAGAGGCAGTTACAGACAGAGAGAGGGAGAGACAGAAAGGTCTTCCATCTGATGGTTCACTCCCCAAATGGCTGCAGTAGGCAGAGCTGGGTCAGTCTGAAGCCAGGAGCCCAAGCCCTGGGCCATCTTCTGTTGCATTACCCGGCCATTAGCAGAAAGCTGGATTGGAAGAGGAGCGGCTGGAACTCGAATAATGTCCATATGGGATGCTGGTGCCACAGATGGAGGTTTAACCTATTATGCTACGGTGCTGATCCCTATTATATGATTTTTTAAATATTGGCAATGAATTCAAGTTTTAATTCTTTGAAATATTTATTTATTTATCTGAAAGGCAGAGTTTACAGAAAGGGAGTGGGAGAAAGAGGGAGTGTGGAAGTAGCCTGGAATGGGGTAGAGGGGAGAACGTTTATCTCCTGGGGTACTCTGCAAATGCCTACAACAGCAGCCTGAAGCCATGTTGGTGGCAGGGACCCAGGTACTTGGGCCATCACTTGCTACTCTCCCAGGAACATTAGTAGGAGACAGGATCAGAAGTGGAGTAGCCAGGACTTCAAAGGCTCTCTAATATTGGATGCAGGAGTTGCAAACAGTGGCTTACCTAGCTGCACCTTTACACTTGCCCCTCAAAATTTTTTTAAGGGTTTTTATTTATTTGAAAGTCAGTTACACTGAGAGAGGAGGGACAGAGAGAGAGAGAGAGAGAGAGAGATCTTCCATTTGATGATTCACTCTCTAATTGGCTGCAACAGCCGGAGCTGTGCTGATCCGAAGCCAGGAGCCAGGAGCTTCTTCTGGGTCTCCCACAAGGCCTTGGGCCATCTTCCACTGCTTTCCCAGGCCATAGCAGAGAGCTGGATTGGAAGTGGAGGAGCTAGGTCTTGAACCAGTGCCCATATGGGATGCTGGCGCTTCAGGCCAGGGCATTAACCCTCTGTGCCACAGCGCTGACCCCAACACCTCAATTTTTTTTAAAGATTTGTTTTATTTATTTAAAAGGCAGAGTTACAGAGTGAGAGACACAGAGAGACGGAGAGAGATTGAGAGAGATTCCATCTGCTGGGGAAGTAGGGGGAGAGAGAGAGAGACAGAGAGATTGATCTTTTATCTGCTGGCTGAGTCCCTAAATGGATTCAATAGCCAGGAGACTGGAACTCCATCTCCCACATAAATGGCAGGGGCCCAGGTATCAAATTTTAACTTAGACTACAAATTTTAAAACATTGAAGATATGCAGAGTAAATAAACAGGGCCAAATTTAGATGCAGCCTTTAGGAGTCATCAATTAACAAATTTGTTAAAAAATGAAGGGGCTGGTGCTGTGGTGTAGTGGGCTAAGCTGCGACCTTTAGCACCGGCATCCCAGTGGGTGCCATTTCATGCCCTGGCTACTGCTTTTCTGATCCAGCTCTCTGTAATGGCCTGGGAAAGCAGTAGAAGATGGCCCAAGTACTTTGGCTTCTATACCCACGAGGGAGACCTGGAAGAAGCTCCTGGCTTCTGGCTTCGGATCGGCCCAGCTCTGGCTGTTGTGGCCATTTGGGGAGTGAACCAGCCAATGGAAAACCTCTCTGTCTTTCCCTTTGGCTGTAACTCTACCTCTGAAATAAATAAATAAATTATAAAAAACTAATTAATGATATTTTCCCCAAACCAGTTCATTCTCTCCAGTCTTTATTTTTTCCCATCTATTTGCATTTTTTTATTCTGATTTTCAGTCTTTTGCATAGTGTAAGAATTTAACATAGCATGTTAATTCTTACATAGTGGTTATCACTGGATCGACTTATATAGCTTCATGTTTGGGGGGAAGTGTTTTTTTTCTTTCACTCTTTATAACTTTTTTATATAATGGTAAAAATATATGTAATAGTGTATTATCTTAAGGACCTATAGTTCTCCCCTTTTTTTCTTTCTGAATCTTTAGTTCCACATAGGAAATGTTTACGAGTCTGGAAAATTAAACCTGTTAACAGTTATTCAGTTATTAAATGAAGCCTTGAAAGTAATGAAATATGAACGTTGTCAGGCTGACCAAGCAAGATTGACAATAGACCTTCACTACCTTGAAAAGGAGACCAAATTTCAGAGGGAAAGATTATCAGATCTGAAGCATATGAGGTACACTAGAAAGTTCTTCTGTTATTTTACTATGGGAGGTATAGGGTGGTTTTCTCTGCAAAATTTTTGTCTAGTTAACAACTATTTTTTTTTTTTTTTTTTTTTTTTTTGACAGGCAGAGTGGACAGTGAGAGAGAGAGACAGAGAGAAAGGTCTTCCTTTGCCGTTGGTTCACCCTCCAATGGCCGCCGCGGCTGGCGCGCTGCGGCCGGCGCACCGCGCTGATCCGATGGCAGGAGCCAGGAGCCAGGTGCTTTTCCTGGTCTCCCATGGGGTGCAGGGCCCAAGCACCTGGGCCATCCTCCACTGCACTCCCTGGCCACAGCAGAGAGCTGGCCTGGAAGAGGGGCAACCGGGACAGAATCCGGCGCCCCGACCGGGACTAGAACCCGGTGTGCCGGCGCCGCTAGGCGGAGGATTAGCCTATTGAGCCGCGGCGCCGGCCCTAGTTAACAACTATTAAGCTTGATAAAAACTTGTGAAAATTTTACTAGTACTGAAAAACATCTAATCAACTCCAAGAGAAACATATGAAGTAAAGAGGAAAATTAATGTAGCTTTCTGTTTGGAGTAAATTATTTGCCCTGAGTGATAATTTTCTATGAAATAATTTCACCTTTTTTCTGGCATTCCTTTTGTTGTGTCTAATCATAAAATGGAATTCCTGGAAAGTTTTTTATTTGAACAGAAAGACTGGGAGGTATGGGCTGCCCTTAGGAATGAACAGAGAGTTGGAATAAAGTTCTTACTGAAGTTCAGAGCCAGGAAAAAAATTGTATTTTGAAAACAAATGAAGTGAAAGATGCATGACTATTTTCCAGTTTTAAAGGTATTTTACGTTTTAAATATCCACTTCTGGGATTCATTTTCAGTTATATTTCCTTCCTCTTCTATCATTGTTTCTTCAACTTTACTCAATGCTTTTTTGTTTTATGTTTGAATAAATTCATGTTTTATGCCATCATAGGTATAAAATAAAAGAAGATATCACAACTATAAGACAATCTATTGTTGAAAAGCAAGCAGAATGGCATAAGAAGTGGAAGGAGTTTCTTGGTCTGTCTCCTTTTAGCCTAATTAAAGATGGTACTACAGTAAGTGATATTGACTGATTTCTTGTGGAATGTGAGTGTTCTTCAGAAAATTTGTGGAAAAATAAAATTAAAAGAAAAATTTACTTTGCTAAGATGCTATCTACGGGATCTCTGTCTCATATTGAAGTGCCTGGGTAGAATCCTTGCTCTATGCCCAAATCTAGCTTTCTATAAATATGCACCTTGGCAGGCAGCAGGCGATGGCTCCCGTAATTTCATGTGGAAGACCTGGATTGAGTTCCCAGTTTCCAGCTTTGGCCTAGCCCAGCTACAGCTCTCATTGGCATATAAGGAGTGAATCAGCAGATGGGAGATCTTTTTTTCTCTAAAATAAAAATAAATGAAAAAATCTTGGAGGGATTTCTAGAAAGCTCATGAAAAATTCATATTACGAAAAAATTGCATGTATTTTTAAAGAAATTTTTGCACCAAAATACTTACTTTTAACTCCTTTTTCCCACTTACTTTTTAAAGTACAAAGTATAATATTTGTTAGTCTCTTGGTTTACTATATAATAAATGACCCAAAAATTCTTTTTTTTTTTTTTTTTTTTTTTTTTTACAGGCAGAGTGAACAGTGAGAGAGAGAGAGAGACAGAGAGAAAGGTCTTCCTTTGCCGTTGGTTCACCCTCCAATGGCCGCCGCGGCTGGTGTGCTGCGGCCGGCGCACCGTGCTGATCCAAAGGCAGGAGCCAGGTGCTTTTCCTGGTCTCCCATGGGGTGCCGGGCCCAAGCACTTGGGCCATCTTCCACTACACTTCCAGGCCACAGCAGAGAGCTGGCCTGGAAGAGAGGCAACCGGGACAGAATCTGGCGCCCCGACCAGGACTAAAACCCGGGGTGCCGGCGCCGCTAGGCGGAGGATTAGCGTATTGAGCCGCAGCGCCTGCCCTCAAAAATTCTATTTGTAGATTATGTTTGTCATTTTTGCATCTGAGCCTAAAGTTCAAATGTTTTGGTTTCTATAAATTTTTTAAAGCAGGTTTTTTTTTTTAATTTTTTTTATTTTTTTATTTGAAAGGCAGCGTTAGAGGGAGATGGAGAAAGAAAGAGAGAGGGGGAGGGGTCTTCTACCCGCTGGTTTACTCCCCAAGTGGCCACAATGGTCGGGGCTGGGCCAGGACCTCTTCTGGGTCTCCTGCATGGGTAAAAGGTTCTAAGCACTTGTGCCATCCTCCACTGCTTTCCCAGGCCATTAGCAGGGAGATGGATTGGAAATGAGACAGCCAAGACTCATCCAGCACCCATATGGGATGCCGGCATTACAGGCAGTGGCTTAATCTGTTATGCCATGGTGCCAGTCCCATGTAATTTTTCCAAATACACAATAGAGTATTCATTAAGCTATTCTTGTCATTTATAGTTGGTGTTTTTATTTAATTTTCTTTTTACAATAATAATAGAGGACTTATTTTGTGTTTTTAAAATATTTTAATTCAAAATAGTTTCAAATTTACAATATAGTTGGTATTTTCAGATTCTGAAATTGTTTTAAAGAGTAACTGGGGTGGGTGGGGGCATGATGTTACTGCATACCTGGTTAAGCCTTTGCACACATTGCTGACATTCCATATTGGAATGTCAGTTTGAGTCTGGCAGCTGCTGTGCTTCTGATCCACCGTCCTCCTAATACTCCTGGAAAGGCAGCAGATGGTGGCCAAGTACTTGGGTCCATCACCCATGTGGGAAACCGAGATGTAATTCCTGGCTCCTGGCTTGGGTCTGACCTGTGCCTAGCTGTTGAGGCCATTTGGGGATTGAATCAGTGGATGGAAGATCTTTCTCCCTCGCTGTCTCCCCACCAAACTCACTTCCTCCCTGGCTTGCTCCCTTTCCTTTCTTTCTGTTGCTTTGCTTTTTAAATAAATAAATCTTTTTGAAAAAGGGAGAAAATGAAGCCATCTTCTTTTTGTAAAGTTTTTTATTTATTTTCATTTCATTTGAAATGCAGAGAGTGAGAAAGAGGAAGATCTTCCATCCACTGATTTATGCCTCAAAAGCCAGTAGCAGCTGGGTCTGGGCCAGGCTGAAGCTAGTAGCTTAGAACTCTATATTGGTCTCTCAGATGGGTGTTAAGGACCAAGTGTGTGAGCTATTATCTGCTCTGCCTCCCAGGGCGTACATTGGTAGGAAACAGGAATTTGAAGCAGAGCTGGAACTTAAACCCAGGGATTCCAAATGTGATGTGGGTGTCTCAAGTAGAATGTTTTTAAAAATTTTTTTAGATTGATTGATTTATTTGAAAGGAAGAATTACAGAGAGGGATAGGCAGAGAGAGAGAGACAAACGCCTTTTATCCACCGGTTCACTCCCCAAATGGCCGCAACAGCTGGAGCTGGGCTGATCTGAAGCCAGGAGCCAGGAGCTTCCTCCAGGTCTCCCATGCGGGTGCAGGGACCCAAGGACTTGGGCCATCTTCTACTGTTTTCCCAGACCATAGCAGAGAGTTGGATCAGAAGTGGAGCAGCTGGGACTTGAACTGGTGCCCATATGGGATGCTGGCACTGCAGGCGGCGGCTTTACTCATTGTGCCATAGCACTGGCCCTTCAAGTGGAGTCTATTTTTTTTTTTAAAGATTTATTTATTTATTTGAAAGAGTTAAAACAGAGAGAGAAGGAGAGGCAGAGAAGGAAAGGTCTTCAGTCTGTTGGTTCACTCCCTAGATGGCCACAATGGCTGGACCTGCACCATTCCAAAGCCATGAGCCAGGAGCTTCCTCTGGATCTCCCACAAGTGTGCAAAGACTCAAGGACTTTGGTCATCTTCCACTGCTTTCCCAGGCCATAGCAGAGACCTAGATCAGAAGTTGAGCAGCTGGGACTTGAACTGGCACCTATATGGGATTGCTGACACTGCAGGTGGCAACTTTTCCCTTTATGCCACAGCGCTGGCCCCTCAAGTGGAGGCTTGATTGCTGTGCTGTTTGTCTTCCCCTAGACTGTCTTCTTGATGTGAAGTACCATGACGATTGAGACTTAGAGGACAATGTAAGCCCCTTTTTCCAAATATAATTGGTTAAAAAATGGTTATAAGTTATCTACTTGGTGCTTATATTTTAGGGCAAAAACAATCATCCACTCATAATTTATCATTGTTATTGTGGCAGTTAGCGAATGTGTTTAGAATTATGAATTTTGTCTTTAAAGGCTGTGGATCTTTTACCGCCTATGTCTCCCCTTTCATTTGATCCTGCTTCAGAAGAAGTATATGCGAGGAGTATTCTTTTTAAGTATCCTGCTTCACTTCCAGGTTGGTTATTTATCCTTTTCTCCTTTAAACCCCTTTCTCCCATCATTGTTTCTCAGTATTGTAATAGTTCATCATTTGTTTTTCCTCCTTAATCATAAAATTCAACATTTCAGTCATTATATCTCATTGGCATTTTGTAAATTCAAAGTGTTGTGCAGTTGTTCTACTGTCTAGTTCCACAACATTTTTAAGATCCTGAAAGAAAATCCCATCCTCAGTAGTGATTGCTCCTTATTTCCTACTTTTCCAGGTTCTGGCTGCCAATAATCTACATCCTGTCTCTATGGATTTTCTTGTTTCATATAAATATGGAATTTTAATATGAATGGAATCATATAATATGTAGCCTTTTGTATCTGGCTTGTTCTTTTTTCTTTCTCTCTCTCTCTCTCTCTCTCTTTTTTTTTTTTTTTTTAAGATTTATTTATTTGAAAGGCAGAGTTTCAGGGAGAGGGAGAGATAGAGATTGGCTGGTTCACTCCCGAAATGGCTACAGTGGCCAGCGCTGGGCCAGCCTGAAGCTAGGAACCTGGAACTCAATCTAAGTCTCCTGTGTGGGTGGCAGGAACCCATGAACTTGGCCATCATCTGCTGCTTTCCCAAACATATTAGCAGGAAGCTGGATGGGAAGTAGAATAGCTGGGACTGAAACTGGCGCTTCAATATGGTAGGCTGGTGTCACAAGCAGTAGCTTAAACTTTTGCAACACAATGCTGGAGTCATCTTTTTTTTTTTTCTTCTTTAATAAAAACTTTATTGATAAATAAAAACAGTTATCCCATATGGGCGCTGGTTTGAGTCTTGGTTGCTCCATTTCCAGTCCAGCTTTCTGCTATGGCTTGAGAAAACAGTACAAGATGGCCCAAACAGTACAAGATGGGCCACTGCACCCACGTGGGAGACCCAGAAGAAGCTCCTGGTTCCTAGCTTCGGATTGTCGCAGCTCTGGCCATTGGGGTCAATTGAGGAGTGAACCAGCAGATGGAAGACCTCTCTCTCTCTCTCTGCCTCTCTCTCTCTCTCTCTCTCTCTGTGCAACTCTGACTTTCAAATAAATTAATTAATTTAAAAAAACCTTTCTGAGATATAATTCACATACCATACAATTCACTCATTTAAAGCCTACAGCTGAGTAGTTTTTTTGTAGATAGATGCAGCCATTACCAGTTTTGAACATTCCTTTTTTTTTTTTTTGAACATTCTTGTCACTTGAAAAAGAAACTGTATATCCTTTAGCTGTCACCATTCCCTACCATGCCTCCTATGCTCCCCTGGCCCTAAGCAACCACTAAAATATTTTTTGTCTCTAAATTTCTGTATTCTAGGTTTTCATATGAATGGAATAATTTTTTAAAAGATTTATTTGTTTATTTAGAAGGCAGAGCTACAGAGAGGCAGAGGCATAGAGAGAGAGAGAGCGGTCTTCCATTTACAAGTTCACTCCCCAAGTGGCCACAGTGGCTGGAGTTGGTTCATGTCCTGTATGTTGCAATAGCTAGGGCCAGACCAGGCTATAGTTGGGAGCCTTCAATGTGATCGAGTGTACATTATCAGGAAGCTAGAATCAGAAGGGGAGTAGGGGCTCTCTGATGTGGGATGCAGTTGTGTCAAGTGGTATTTTTAACTCTTGTACTGAATGCCTGCGCCCATTATTTACTTTTTTTTTTTTTAAGATTTATTTATCTATTTGAAAGTCAGAGTTACACTGAGAGAGGAAAGGTAGAGAGAGAAAGAGGTCTTCTGTCTGTTGGTTCACTCCCCAGATAGCTGCAATGGCTGGAGCTGCGTTGATCCGAAGCCAGGAGCCAGAAGCCAGGAGCTTCTTCCGGGTCTCCCGTGCTGGTGCAGGGGCCCAAGGTCTCTGGCCATCTCCTGCTTTCCCAGGCCATAGCAGAGAGCTGGATCTGAGTGAAGCAGCTGAGTCTTGAACCAGTGCTCATATGGGATGGGCAGCACCGGCTTTATCTGCTATGCCACAGCACTGGCCCCTCAATTATTTGCTATTAAAATGTTTTTAAAAATTCTATTTCAGCACATTGGAAAGTACAGAGAATAATATTATAAATGTATGTATAACAAACACCCTTCTTTGTCAGAACTTTGTAGTATTTGCTTTTCTTTTTTTTAGAAAGAACATATGCAGAGGCTGGCATATAGTGAGTGAGTTATGCCATTATCTGCTATGCTGGCATCCCATATGATCGTGGGTTCATATCCTGGCAGGTCCACTTTGGATCCATTTCCCTGCTCATGTCCCTAGGAAAGCAGTAGAAGACGGCCCAAATACTTGCACCTCTGCCACTCACGTGGGACACCCAGATGGAATTCCAGGCTCCTGACTTCAGCTGGGCCCAGTCTGGCCGTTGTAGCCATTTGGGGAGTGAAACAGCAGATGGAAGATCTCTCTCTCTCTGTAACTCTGCCTTTCAAATAAAAAAAAGGTTTACGAAAAACTTCTAGAAAAAGTACATATGTGGATATATCTTGGATATTTACTTTTCTTTGAGCCCATTTTTTTAAAGATTTATTTTATTTATTTGAAAGAGTTACAGAGAGAGATAGAGACAGAGAGAGTAGTCTTCCATTCACTTCCCCAGATGGCTGCAACACTCGGAGCTGCGCCGATCCGAAGCCAGGATGCAGGAGCTTCTTCCGGTCTCCCACGTGGATGCAGGGGTCCAAGTGCTTGGGCCGTCTTCTATTGCTTTCTCAGGCCATAGCAGAGAGCTGGATCGGAAGTGGAGCAGTGGGGACTAGAACTGGCGCCCATATGGAATGCCGGTGCTTCAGACTAGGGCTTTAACCTGCTGCGCCACTGCAATGGCCCCCCCTTTGATCCCATTCTTATAAGTTTCACAGAAGTAACCATTATTCTTATTCTTAGAACAGGTGTGTGTTCATAAAAATAATTTTTATATGTGTGATTTAACTATATAATGCTGTTTTTAAAGTTTTTGAATTTTTTTTTAATTGGAGAGGTAGAGGAACAGGGAACTCTCTTCTGCTCAATCACCATCCAAATGCACTTTGCTGGGGCTGAGCTGGGGTCAGAGATAGGAGCCAGGAATGCAATACAAGTCTTCCACGTGGGTGCAAGGAACCTAGTTACTTGAGCCATCACTTGCTGCCTTCCAGGGTCTGCATTGATAGGAAGCTGGAATTGGGAGCTGGCACTGAAATCATACCTTGGCATTCCATTGTGAGACTTGTGCATTTTAACTGCTCTGCTACGTGCCCTCCCCCTATTTTTTTATTATCCCACAAACGTGTTTTGAAAATATTTGTTAATTTTTTTGACACTGGATTCAAAGAAGGTTTGCTTATTGCATTTGTTTTTTATTTTTCAATGACTTTTTAAAAAATATTTATTTATTTGAAAGGCAGAGTTACAGAGAGAGAGAGGCAGAGAGAGAGAGAAGTTTTCTATCCACAGGTTTACTCCCCAGTTGACTGCAATGACCAGAGCTGAGTCCATCCGAAGCTAGGAGACAGGAGCTTCTTCCAGGTCTCCCATGTGGCTGCAGGGGCCCAAGGATTTGGGCCATTTTGTACTGCTTTTCCCGGCCATAGCACAGAGCTGGATCGGAAGTGGAGCAGCGGGGTCTTGAACTGCACTCATATAGGATGCTGGCACAACAGGCTGTGGCTTTACCCACTGTGCCACAATGCTGGTCCCCTTAATGCCTTTTATTTCAGAGTCATTGCCAATTTTTTAAGATGTTGATATAAATTATTTTTAATATTCATTGTGTTTTTAGATTTACCAACGTGTTTATTGATCTTCCCACCTTATTTTTCTATTTTTTCCTTTTGAGGAATTTATATCAAAGTATATAGTTCTTTTAGTAATGGGAAATAAATAGTACAATATTAGTCTTTCTATGAAGATATCTTTATTTTGGGGCTGGTGCTGTGGCACAGTGGGTTAACCCCCGCCTGCAGTGCCGACATACCTTATGGGTGCTGGTTCGAATCATGGCTGCTCCACTACTGATCTAGCTCCCTGCTAATGTGCCTGGGAAAGCAGCAGAAGATAGTACAAGTCCCTGGACCTCTGCCACATGTGACAGAGACTCTGAAGAAGCTCCTGGCTCTTGGCTTCAGCCAGGTGTTGTGGCCATCTGGGGAGTGAACCTCTCTCTCTTTGTGTTTGTGCTTCTCCCTCTCTCTGTGTAACTCTGACTTTCAAATAAATAAATCTCAAAAAAAAAAAAAGGGCAAATATCTTTATTTTTATGTACTCTTGAATGGTAGTTTAGCAGGATATAGAATTATACCACATTTTTTTTTTTTTCACTTTGGTGCTACATACAATCTCATTGTTTTCCGCTTTCTATTTCTGAGATATTTCCTGACAGGTTGTCATTTATTGGTAGTTAATTTTTTATTTCTAGTTGTTTTTAAGATTTTTCTTTTTCTGTAATGTAGGTTCATTGAGACAATAATTTGCTTTTATTTAGACTTACTTTTATTTTGATTCGTTTTTATTTAGGACTTATGTGTGCTTATTTATTCTGAAGGCTCATGTGTTTTCCTCAGTTCTGCAAACTTATTTACCTACATCTTTTCTAATAATGCTTGTCTGTCATTCTTTTGGTCCTTTTTTCCCCAAACTCATATTGTTGGAACTTCTGATTTTGCTCTTCGTATTTCTTAACTTCGCATTCATATTCATAACTTGTTTCTGCCTCTGAGCTTTGTTTTATATGTTATCCTTAGATATCTCTTATAGTTCACTAATCATTTTATCTTTAATCTGCTTTTTGAGCTGTCTTTTTTTAAAATTTTTTAAATTTTTAAAATTTTTTGACAGGCAGAGTGGACAGTGAGAGAGAGACAGAGAGAAAGGTCTTCCTTTGCCGTTGGTTCACCCTCCAATGGCTGCCCCACCCACCACGCTGATCTGAAGGCAGGAGCCAAGTGCTTCTCCTGGTCTCCCATGGGGTGCAGGGCCCAAGCACTTGGGCCGTCCTCCACTGCACTCCCGGGCCACAGCAGAG